TCGCCAGTTTTACCCAAACATTGAATACCGCTATGTTGTCTTCCTTGATCATCATCTCTACCCTGAACTGACTGACGCAATGAACACCGCTTACAGWTTCTTTTACAACTTCAAAAAGTATCTTAACAATGCTMAAGAAGCATTTGCTGATGTAGCCCTCTTTCTCCCAACTGTCCAACTCGATATCACCAATCACATCAAACACTCTGCAATTAATACYGGTGACAAAGATCGTATTAAACATATCATGGACACCAAAACCAACCTTATGGCAGATGTYGCTAAGGACAAACGTACACAACTCAAAAATGACACCAACACCATCACCCGTGCTTTAAACTTTGTTTCTAAGTCYGAAACCAAAAACACTTTATTTGTTTACATCAACTGGTCTCCCATCTACGTCAATGACAGACAGCCAGCAGAAGATGTTTATGACTTTGGGTACTTTAGTGACATTCCTTTTCCCCCTCCCGTGGTCCAAGGTGGCAATAACATCCCACCTCCAACGCCACTAGTTGATCCTGACATTGTCGGCCTTTTCACCCAAAGCAACGATATCCTGCGTCAACAAAACGTGATGATCCAACAACTTGCACCAAAACCAAAGACTCATACTTCAACCATAAAGCCCTTTGTCCAGTTGAACTTCTCAGCTCAAGTCATCACTTGCTACAAGCTCAACGCAGTCCTGAACAAGTAAAAAAAAATCTTAATATTATATTTAACCTCATGAACTATAAGAGGCACTATATGGCCAGAACCATAGCTTTTGTTGGAAAGTATGCTTCTAGCTGCTCTGAGGGGCGGCACTTCCCTCTGAGGAGTTTTGATGRAAGTGCGACCAGGGGTTTTTCTGCTGGATTTAAAAGAATTGTTGTAGCTTGGTTTGGAGTAAACTGGAAGAATTGACAGGAGGAGCCAGAGAAGTATCTGGCACAACTGGTTGTTTGTGTGGTTTCTTTTTKGAGTATGCGTCAAAGACCAGCAGGACTYGTGTGACACTCTCCGGTGGTTGTTTACTATGAGGCAATGGCGTAAAGTACTGGGTAATAGGGYGGGTGTTGGAGAYCACAGCACTTGTAGCTTGAGTGACACTCTCCAGAATTKTTTTCTKGTAGACTCGATGGTAATATGAGAGCATGGAGGTAGGTGTCTGCAATAAGAAGGCTTCYRTATACAAGTATCACACTCCTGATACTCTCACCGACCTTATTGATACTTCAGCACAACCACATACCACTTGACAATATCACCRAGACCCCCATAACCTACCATCCGGTTTTGTTACTCCAGAAAGTTCCTACTTCGTCCTCATCAATCTTGGACCACAAAGTGAAAAGAACTTCCAAAACAACGTCAACAAGATTACAGGTGACACAGTATACAAACTCTACAATTGGTACACATGCTTCACAACCCATTGTAAAGAAATCGTGTGTGCAATAAGCAGTTAGTGTAGTTTAATTATAGGACAAAACAAACAGTACAGTGTACACTAAAAACTTAGCAAATATAGTCAACGCCACAGTGTTGGGGGCATGATAAGGGTGTTTAGTTGAGTTAAAAGAAAAGGATTGTGACCAAACAGCTGTCTTGCTGTTTGCTTTGCTGTATTTTCATCGATTCGGCGATAGAAAGATGGGCAATAAGATCGGTACGTGTTTAATTGTATTAGTCATAGTCGTATGAGTCAATTGTACGATTCACTCCAAAGATACGATTCAACCTTGATACGGTTTAACCTTAACCCTAACATATCGATTTGGTCTTATGAATCGTACAATTCATTCGTATCATATGAGTGACTCAGTATGAGTGACTCAATCGTATCTCGAGTGATTTTAGCAGTCCCCGTAAGATCTATTCAGTTTAGTCAAATAAGATCAAACGAATCGAACTTACAAGAATCACTCTCATACATATGAATCATAACTGTACATATGATATGAACCATTGAATCAAACAAGTCAACCAATCGATACAGGCCAATTTTTGAGGTTTTCGCTCGTACCATTGATCAACTTAAGCCAGTCTTTTCACTTTGCATCAAGTATATGTAATTTGCACAGTTTCACCTGCACAGTTTTTGTATGTACCCTTGTATATATATCAGAGGCCCAGCTATACAGTATGGGGCAAACCATTTTGGTTCTAACTGTGGTGRCATTTTGCCACTTTAACAGTGTAATGTATCAGCCTATTGTGTTTTAGAATGGATACATGCATCTCCTGCAATGTTCTTTGAAGAGTGCACCGCCATTCAGTTTTGTGAGCAGATCAGCTGTGTTCTCAGTCCCAGGAACCTTAGCAATTCTGACAGCACCAGATGTGACACTCTCTCTTGCTTTGTGATATGCAATACTGTTGTGCTTCTTCTTGCATGGGCTTTCAGGCCTGGTGACATTCTTGACGACACTGTCATGGTCACAGAATACATTGGTTGCACCTGTAATAGGCACTCCCATCATTCTTAGTTTGTACCTTAATCCCTCAATCATTTCAATTGTGATCCTCATGGCAACAATCTCAGAACCAAATGTAGATGTTTCCACYGTTGTCTRTCTTTTAGAATACCATAGGATAGGGGGATCTGTTAAGGTATATAAGGATTCCTKYATGACAATGCCTTGTAGCTGYACAACCGRCATGGTCTGCATCCACAAAACAGGTCATCACAACAGGCTTCCCCAAAGCTTTGGGCATATCTGGAGGCAATAGTTCCTTGGCTTCAGGGTAGAACTCGGACCAGTCACAGTCGGAGAAGTGACTTTCACTTATCWCAGGTTGAGTATCATCAAATACTAACTTGGATTTCTTGTGTTGCTTGAGGTAGGCGAATATACAAAAGGCCTGGTTAAGATGACCAGTTCTTGCCTGTGCTAAGTATCGTGAGAGCAGTGAAACAGGATGAATAATATCAAGCCTGCCAAGTTCACATAGCCACCTCAAAACACCGATCAACCCTWGATAGTAGTTCTRTGTCCGCTTGTCCAGTTCATCCGTAGGGTCAATCTCAGGTCTGTAATCAGGGGAGAGGGGAGTACTGATTTTCTTCTTTGGTAGATACTTATAATCATATTTCTCTGTCCCMRGTTCCTGCTCCACAGCCTGGATCGCCTTCTCAGTATATTTCTCAGCTGACATGGCCCATCTCTTGATACTAACACCAGGAATCTGGTGCCTACTGATATCAGCACCAAGATATAGTGTAGGTTCTTCAATGGTGCCATCCTTCAAGGTAAATCTCTTTTCAATAGATTCCAGCATTAGGCGTGGTTTCATGCCACAGCATAAGATATCATCTACATATGCAATCTACATATGCAATGAGGTAAGCCCAATATGAAGTATCGTCCTTAAAAAAAAAACAACGGCGGCRGCCGCAACCAATCTATTTAGTCCTTCTGACTCATACACGAGTTACCTGGTACCTATGAATCAGTTGCGGAATACAGTAGTACTGTATGGTACTGGTACTGCATTTTTGCAAACGATATTGCAAAACGTTCAAAATTGGTGCGTAACGTACTAAGGCTATAGTACTCTTACTGGACCCACTCTATTTACCACCGTACTCACATGTTCTACATATTTTGTGGTAGGGATTCTACTGTGCAATCGTATTAGCTCTTCCGTTTTGGTTGCATCCGTACCTATTTTGGTTGCGAAAAAGAGTCAAATTTGTATGGAAAATGCAACC